ATCGCGTAGGCGCAAGATCAAACTTGAAAGGTGATTGGTCCATTGCGACTTTCGAGAAAAGACCCAGTCCCTCTGACCCTAAAAGAGGACAGCAAGGGGATCACCCCACTGGAACCGCAACATCACCATCATTTGTCATCCGTGGAAGAAAACTGAGGTTTTTGATTGGCGGAAATAGTGACTCTACCAAATGTCGTCTTGAATTGCTGATTGGTGGAAAAGTTGTTGACAAAACAGCATCAGATGGAACATCAAATAGCATGATGCAAAAAGAGTTTGACGTCACAGCATACAAACATCAAACTGCTCAGATACGAATTGTTGACGGCTCATCAGGTGCTTATGGATTTGTGATGGTGGATCATATTGAAGACAGCATTTGCTCTGAGTGACTTATAAACCATGGACAACATTAACGCGCATTTGTCGCAACGTATAGCTGTGAACGCATAATTACATATCAAAAACAGAATTTGCACCCAGTGACCAAGACTTCTGGACATTAATCAACCACATTATCATCATTTTCTAAGAATAGGCGTGGGCTGTAGACGCAACCGACATGCCGATCACACTTTGGCCGCCTCTGATCAGGCGAGCCAAAAGCAAATAGTTTTCCAATTGGTTTCTCACACAGAGGTTCCTAATGACCCTGACTTGGTCGCCTATGCTAACATCATCCTACCATGGGTTGAATGAACGCATTGTTTTCAAATAATTTTCATATCTTTTGTTTTCTTTTTTAGCACCTTTTTTGTTCTTTTCTCTAACACATCTCTTGCTTTATATGTATATTTCTCGTTACCATGCCTACCTTGCTCTACTTTCTTTGCTCCTCTCATTGCATAAATTCCTATAGCCTATTTTCATCTCTTTACTCCGACGAAGGATTAACGTCCGAAACGTCAGTAAGTTAAATCAACTTTTTACACAACCATCTATACATCACAATAGCCGAGTTTAGATATTTTGGTTCAGTGACCATGGACAAAAGAATTGCAGACGAGGCTCCGGGGAAATAAAGAATAAATCAAGATTATCCATATTGATAATTTTATTTTTTTTAATATTGCAAAGAGTTATTTTGAAGTGCACGCTTCAAAATGACCAATCAAAGAGCGTATAATATCGTTTTATTCTTTATTTCCCCGGAGCCTCGTCTGCAATTCTTTTGTGCATGGTCACTGAACCAANATCTATGCGCATTAAAACACTTCGAATACGTTTGCACCTAACATATATACCGTATATAATGCAAGAGTAAACATAACGCAAAGATAAGAACTTAAATAAAATGATTGCATGAAATAGAAATTGTTTGTTGTCTTCAAAACCGCAAAGCGAATCTGAACACTATTTTGCCAGTATCAATCTTGAATTCTATAGTATTTCATTTTTAAATTAATTGTTTTACAGTTCGACATTCATCAAAAGTTTCCAATATTGATTCCCGTTAAGTCATAAAATTCATATAAATTAATAAAGCTCTTACGCTTGACATGACTCGCTTTCATTTTCCCTTTTGCTTATTAATGATTGCTATCAGTTTTTGCACAAAAAATATGTAAAAGTAAGTGAAAACTGGACAGTTGCGTTGGTCACGTCGATTTCCTAGAACGTGTCTATTTTTTAGATTTTTTCAACCAATAAGTATTAACTTTCGGTATTACTGGCGGGAAACTGAAATAAAATAACAAAGAAAATAATGATAATAGAAAGCGAATTGTCTTCTAGTCTCCCAAATATTAATTGAAAACAAAGATTCTGCTACTGAAGAGACGACTGAAGAAATCTATAAAATAGAAGCGTCTGCGGAAACGCCAAAAACATGGACATTCTAGAAAAACTTCTTTTAACTATGAGCTAGCATTTTGTTTTGCAAAGCCTCCTGAAATCCCATCTTCATTCAGAAAGCTGTTCCACTCACACCTTTTAAGTTAGCGATACAGTATATATACTATGTATCTATCGTATCTATATGTTGACGCATGATCGGGTACCCTGCGCCTTTTGTTGCTGTGCAGCCAAGCCAAGGAGGATCCCTCGTACGAACACAGTTTGTCATGGTATGCTGACCAAATCCCTTCCGGTTTTCTGAGAAAAGCTCTTGACAGTGCAGTCTTTCTTTGGGTCGTTTGAATGACTGATACTGCATTTCGTTGTAGTACAAAGCTCTTTGTTTGTAAAAATACAAGCAATCAAGAAGAGAGAGGAGAGAATATCAGGTCTTCAAAATGTCTGAGAAGTAAGTAAAGCAGCCTTCCAAATGCTTTGTATATCTCGAGTTGTTCACTACGTAGTGATTAGATACATATATTCTACAAAGAATTTTGAATGTGTTTATTGAGGAGTTTTGCGTGGTCTAAGTTGATTGTCTTAAGAAATGTTTTTGCTTCATTTTACAAGTAGAATTATAAAACTCATTAATATTCATAAGGCAAAACACAATAGAAATCATAGCCCATGAAGAGAGTTGTATATTACATACAGATTTCTTGTTCATTTGCATAAACTTTTACTCTGATTTTCTCAGATTGAATTTTTTTCAAAAGTTTCTTTAAAACCTGAGCTAATTTACCTTAACGTTTCATAAGTAATATACAATATTCGCGTGCGATCTGTATGAGG